CAACATATTCAGCAGTATTCGAAATGAAATATCACCAGTTCTCATAGGATCTTATCCGTTTGTGTTCTTGTAGATGACCTGATGCTAACATTTTGCACTGTAAACGATGAAAGCATCCAGAGCAAAGCAGTGAAAAGCTTATTGGAGGAGAAAGAATAAACCTTTTGATAAGTGCTGACAAGCCTCAATGTTTCGGTAAAATTAGCGAGTTGATTTGAGTCTAAGTCAGCTTGAACAAGGATTGATACATTCCTTGCGTGCTTATTCAGCACTCGTCGAGCATCTTCTTCGCTTCGTATCGGAATATCATTTGGACGTGGTCTGTGCTCAATCATTTCAAAACCGTTCGATTCCTCCTCCTGAACATATGCCGTCAATGAACCACTGATAATAATTTTTGTGCTCATACATTCTATCCCTTCTGTTTCCGCTAATTCTTCCGTCGGTCAGGGCTGGAAATGTTGCAGCAGTGTGTTTCGAAACGGACAATCAATGTGAAAATATCGGACCAAAGACTCATTATCAAAAAAAAAACACCAAAGCTCCGATTTCTGGCAGTTGAAATTTCATTACGTTATTGAAACGATTGCTTTAGAAGTGGGAAGAAAGTTAGAATTTCTTGGCACAACAATTTTTGAACAAGATTCTTTGAACAAGATTCTTTGAACAAGATTCTCTTGGAGATCAATCGCTATCATCCCGTATTCGCTTGTGTTGTTCCCATGGAAGGGTTACAAATGGTTTGATGGTGAATGGGCGAAACAAATTTCGAAAATAATGACAACTTAATAATTCTTGACACCAATTTGCTGATTCAGTGAGATATGAATAATGTGATGCTTTTGAATTTTAAGTTGAATGCGCATAGTCGTTGTGCGAAAATTGGCTGTTTGATCCAGGAAAATGCATGGGGCATGCAGGAATACCATTCAATATCAATGCTCCGAAGAAGGCAAAACAATGAATGAAACTCTTTTCGAGTTGGTGGCTGACGAAATAATCTGCAGAATGACTGATCATTGGAACTTCTTTAAGAAACTTTAGAAATGTCACAACAGCACCTTGGGCAAGAGAAGAGACATACACGCATTCATGAATATCATGCAGAGTCGCATAGCTTTTGTTCATTATGCGACGTGATTTCGACCAATTGTGTGATTGGGAGCTCTTTGCAAGATAAATTGAAATGTTTTCAAATCTGGGTTCAGATGAGCACAATTCGGTCAGATGAGTAAAGCGTTGCATTCAAGATTTGTGAATCAGATTCAAGAAATTCAAGCTGAACCATGCGCAGATCTCTTAAGATGTGGTACAATCTCATGAATTACATGTCAACAATGGTATTGAGGATTTCCTACCAACTGGGATAGAGTAGCATTGTGTGGAATACGAGTAGGATAGGCCTCGGAAGTGCCATTTATGGAACGTTGATGGGACGATAAATTTAAGAAGTGAGAGACATTTTTCACCTCGTCATATTCAGTTTGCGGTGTCATTGACAAAACTTGCTGATGAAAATATTCCAAATCATCGTTTCTTTCATTCTTAGTCGCATCAAATAATGATGGTGACAGTCGTTTGAGGAATTCTTCGAATTCTGAAAATTCGCTTTCACATATCCATTCAATTTTTTACATCCTTTTGATCTCAGTTACCATTGGATTACATCACTTCATACAGCATTTTGAAGTCGTTGTTCCCTTATTCTTCCACTCATCAGATAACGGAAATTTCGAACTTAATTAGAATATCAACTTCCATTTGTTATTTTACCAAACGGCTCACACCAAAATTCGTCTCAATTCATCTCATGATGCATTTTTACGCATCGTTCAAAATGTTTGCTATTTACTCTGTATTCATAGTTTACGTGAATGCTGTGTGAATTTGTTCGTTGAATGTGAGCATCAAATGCCTCTCAACTGAACCCTCGAACTTATTGCATACATCTCAACTGAACATCCGATTTCATTCACATTCTCATTGGTGAGTTTCGAGTTCGGAGACGAATCAACATCAACGTTCTAGGCTGTCCAATTTGTCAACGTCATCATTTTGATCAGCATGATCTAGGTGACGTTTTTTTCGAAAGCGATGAAGCACTAAACACTACCTGCTCTTCCGAGTGTACCACTGGAGTCTGCATCTGATCGACAGAACAAGTTGCGCAATTGACCGGCAGAACATTGCTTGAGTACTGCTAGGAGAGCGTAGCACTCACTTGCACTTAACGATCCGTCATGATCCAAATCAATTTCCTGCAAACAAACTTATCGGTGATCTCATTAGGTGATATTTTGATGATTATACTTATAGATTATCATCAATCAGTTCGAATGCTAATTTATGATTCATTTCATTGAACCAATGCTCTAGATTAATTGTGCCATTCAAAATATCACTACCTTAACGCTGTTTCATCAGAAAGCTCACCAATTTGAGCAAAAGCTTTCTGTAACTAATGAACGTTTTTCACATCCAAGTGGAAAAATCATTCGAAAAAATTTTTCACCATAGAAGCAGTTGTTTACCATGAGCAAAAGTGCGTCGTGAGCATTAATTAGTCAAGATTATACAAGTCAAATGATACTCAACACCAGTCTACCAAAAGCATACATCGCACATCTATCTCCATCAGATTCATAACACACCACTTTTCACTATCGATTCTCCGGATTATTCTATTTAAAATGTTTTTGCACATTCAACTTTCCACTGAGTCAATGCGCAGCAATAACTTTTCTGCAACCTTCTTGCATGTGTTCGT